GGTGTGTGATTCAGTTTGCCCCACTGCAAAGCTGAAACACTCTTCCTTCTCCCCCCCCTTTTTTTTTCCTCTATTGAAAATACCTTTTCATGTTAATTATTGTTTCTGTTTTCTGAGGAAAAGTTGCCAAAGTTTTCAACCAAGCCAAAAAAATACACAATTATCTCATTTAAATGCAGCCATTTTTACACCCCCACTCTTTACCTTTTGTTTTCAGAAAGTTCCCTTGCTGCAACATTAAACAGTTTGACCCTTGATTATACCGTATTTCCTGTGGAAGTGACAGCCAGAGATATTCAAGCTCCTGTTCTATCTGCCTTTACAGTGTCCTTCTGTAGTGCTGTGCCACTGAAGGTGTATGATGATCTTAAATGTAACTTCATATGATTTAAAGACCTCTAAGCCTACAAGATGAGTTGTCTTAGGTCTAAAATCTCCTTCCCAGAGAGGTTGTGGATGCCCCAACCCTGGAGGCATTCAAGCCCAGGCTGGATGTGGCTCTGGGCAGCCTGGTCTACTGGTTGGTGACCCTGCACATAGCAGGGGGTTTGAAACTAGATGGCCTGTGAGGTCCTTTTCAACCCAGGCCTTTCGATGATTCTTTGATAAAAAGAACGCTGCCTTTAATTTTTAAAGTTTTTTTTTGTTGCCTAGGAAGTATAAATCTGAAGGTGTCTACATGCTGGACAGCTTTTCTCTATTGTATTTACACAATTAAATGCACAGAATCTTTAGCAGGGTCAATGGTGATAGGACAAGGGGAAATGGTTTCAAACAAAAGGGGGGAATTTATATAAGAATTTTTTTACAGTATGTGTGGTGAGGCACTGGCACAGGTTGTCCAGAGAGGTGGATGAAGGCCCTGTCCATGGGGACATTCAGGGTCACGCTGGAGCAACCTGATGTAGCTGCAGGTCTCCCTATTCATTGCAGGGGAGTTGGATTAAATGGCCTTTAAGGGTCCCTTCCAACACAATGTTATGACTTTATGGACTGGAGACCACTGGCACTTTGATGTGTTTCTGTGGTCTCTCTCTGTGTTAGTGGTGAAGATGTTTTTTCCTGTTCAAACAGCTGTACCTAAGTTTGTATTTTGTTTGATGTGTCTTGGACTTTCTCTATTCAGCTCAGCTTATCTATCTCTCAAATTCAAATTCAAATAATTTACTTCAATTAATTTAATTAAAGCTAATCGCTTAGGCACTTAGCAGGTAAAGGATTACTGCCTTACCGGAAGACTCGTGTTTCTCCTCAGTGCTAGGTGAGTCTGGAAAAACAACCCACAATAATCAAAGTTATTTGTTTTAGCTTAGGAAATAGGTACCAGTAATCAATTTAAGGGCTAGTATTTCTTCTGAGAAAGAACTTTTATCAAACAAAAGCTTAAATTTGGTCACAAAATTAAATCAGAGGAAAAGATGCTTTACAGCTCCCAAAAATGAGTTGATGAAAAGTTTGGTTCCGCATTTTCAAATAAATAAAATAAAATAAAATATTGATTTTGAAAGCTGTAGCAGATTAATTTTGCTGAATATAAGCATTTCACTTTACATTTCTAAAACACTTGTCTCTTGAGAATTACATGCTTTAAAACAAAGCTATTAAGGGGTTCATATTGCTTGAAACCAAGTCTTTGTTTCAAGCTGAATGAAATGTGTGGTTGACCGCAATGAAAGTTTCCAGCTGATCTCTTCAAGCAACCTTAACAAACAAGGATTTGTTTTGATTTTCTTAATTTGCTTTTTTTTAGTCAGTCAGCTGGTCAAACCAAATACCATTCACTGGTCACACATGTAGACAATGCAAGCAAGTTGCTAGAGTTGCTTGGCATTGTTTAAGCATGTGTTGTAGTCTTGGTTGCTTTCCTAGGAAAGAGAAATAATATTTCATGGTATGAGTCCAGCCTTGCAATCAGATCCAGGCCTTCCAGACCAGGGAAAATGTAATGAGTAACAGTCTTGTCATCTGGAACCTGGACTTTGGAGTGCCAGCAGTCTGCTTCACAGATGCAAGAACAAATAATGAAATAAACTTTGCATCTCTCTGGGGACAAGATGGATCCTGGGCAGTGCAGAGCCTTCAGTAACCAAATGCTTACAGGTCTGGGAGAGCTCATTAATCATTAAAGAATCTAGGGAGGAGGAGAAGCCAGGCAGCGTGACCTTGGGAGTCCTGCTACTTCTGCAGACATTCTGTGCTGATGCATATCAAAGATGCTTTATTCAATTCCCTTCACATTTTTTTCCAAGAAAAACAAGGAATAAAGAGAAACTGAGTGAAGATTTGCTTTAAAAGTTGAGCTCAGCCAAATCAATTGCTGTATGTGGCTTGTCAGCAAGAAATGCTGCCTTCAGCTCCTTCCCTCTGAATTAAGAAAAAATTCTTACCTGATACTTTGAGCTTAATTTTAGATTTCTGTGTTTGATGCCCAGACTGGCTATAGATGCAACTATACACAGCTTCATCCTCTGGCTGGACGTTGGAGAGCTTTAAGGAAAAGTTGCCGTGCTTCACCTCATTTAAAAAAAGACTGGTTCTGCCACGGTATTTCTTATCCTGAGACTCCAGATCATCGTGCCCTTCAAAAAGGAAATGCACTAAGTCATCCTCTATCTGCCAGTAGAGCTTCGAGTGGGGAATGTTCAGCTCTTCAGGAGAGGTGCTGATGCAGGGCAACACAACAGTTTCTCCCACAGATGCATGGCACGTCATGTCTGGTTGACCTGGAATACAAACAGACAACTTTCTCATCACAGAGCAGTACCAGGGACATTGAGTTTCCTATAACTTGGCTTCCTCGCATTGTTACAGCTTCTCTTTCCCCTTTCTGACAGTGTCCTGCTCCCAGCCAGACAGGAGGGAACATGGGCTGCGTCAGGACTAAGGGCCCTATGTGCTCAGTGCCCAGCTGGAGAGAGGTGCAGAGGGGCAGATGCTGCTGCACACAGGTTGCATCTACTCTGTCAACATGGCTGCTGCTTGAGTCTGTCTGCTTAGCTGGCGATTTTTCTCTTGGCTTCTGGGAACAGTAATCTTTGAGTTTAAGTGTAAGACAGTTTATATCAATCAGCTCAAAAGGGCAGAAAGTGATTCAGGGAAGTGGAGACAGGATAAAGAGATTAAACAACTTTTGGGTAGGGAGGAAGTCTGGCTGAACAAAAAAAAGGAGAACCGTGAAAAGGATGTTGCGTTGTCAGTAGGAAAGTATTGGAAGAGCCTGATCCTCACTGCTATCCTCACTACATCTGATCATGGCTCCAAATTCATAAGGTGCAGGTTCTGCCTTGGAGGACCTGACATAATGAAGATAGCCTGACAGAACAAAGCTGCTTTCTGTAAGTCTATGTGCGAGCACCCAAGGCTGCTACTAACACTTGTGTCCTGGATTTTCCTACTCCTCAGTGTATTTATTCTCCCAGCATCCCTAAGAGATTCCCCCAGTAGCTAAATGAATTTTGCAAGGACTCAGGGAGATGCAGTCTTAGGGCTGCTCTCAATATGTTCTCTCAGTGAGTATACATACGTGGGATTGCCCTGACCCAGCTGCAGCACCTTGCACTTGGCCTTGTTGAACCTCATGAGGTTCACATGGATCCACTTCTCAGGCCTATAATGTTGAACAACTTATTAGGCTTACAAAACCGGACTAGATTTTAATGTTACATTTGCAGGTTGGAAAAAGGCAATGTGTATTTAGCTTTTGTTGTTGTTGTTGTTTCGTTGTTTTTTTTTTTTAAATAAAAACAAGATTTTCAAGACATGGACAACAAGGTATTTGCAGCATAGAGTGAAATTAATGCTTTGACAAAACCTATTTCATAAAACAATGTAGTGAATTAAAATACAGATGAATTAATTTGAATGGGAAACTTCCATCCCCAGCAGGGAGCTAAAACAAAATCAGCAGGAGTTTGGGATTGTGGCAGGAATAAAAGTTAAATCTCACTGTGAAAGAACTCAATCTGCTTTCATGGCCAAAATACTGTGAAGCATCTGGGGTAATTCATCAGACTAGATACAGAAATAAATGTTCTTGGTGGCATTGTTGCCATTCCTGTGTAGGCCTGTAAACACACCAGATTGGGCTGAAAACTAAAATGAGTCCCAGTTCTCTCTTCAGGTTGCTGATACCAGCCAGGGCTTTGCTGGTTACACACTCAGGCCTCTGTTTTTATATTTATCTGTATCTGTTTTGAGGCCTGCTTGTTTTTAGAGTATGTACATTGAGACAGATATAAAAGCAGAAGGAAAACTATCATTCAGATTGCTAAATGGCAGGGATAAGTGTCTTCCATTAAACCTTTTTAGTCAACATATGCTTTTCTTAGGTTTGCAGATTTTTCAACTGAAAATCCCAGTTCTCTTTCACCCAACAATTTAAACCTCTAGCTGGTAAAAACACATATTCCCAGAGCTACTTCTATTTGTCATTGCAAAGAGATTCCTCCTGTTGTGCAGAAAGCTCAATTGTTTTCTGATTGCATCAAAACATTGATGACATTCTCAATTGGGACCCAAATTACAGTAATATAATATCACCACAGAACGGCTCACTTTGAAGGGACCTTAAAGATCAACCTATTTCTAACCCTGTGCCATGGGCAGGGCTGCCCCCCACAGCTCAGGCTGCCCAGGGCCCCATCCAACCTGGCCTCAAACACCTCCAGGGATGGGGCACCACAACTTCTCTGGGCAGCTGTGCCAGCACCTCACCACCCTCTGAACAAAGAGTTTCCTCCTAACATCTAACCTAAATCTTCCTTCTTTCAGTTTAAATACATCCTATAACTACCTAAGTAAAAAGTTGGTCCCCCCAAATATCCAAATAATGGCCATAATATTTTATTTTTAATGAAGTCCAGCACCTACTGCACACTTTCTGTTAGAGCAAACCTTACTCTGTACGCCCCAAGGAGGTTGCCTCAGACCTGTGATTAGCAGCTTCCCCCAGTGCTATATTGGCTGTACCCAGCACACCTGGAAGGGCTGAAGGAGGGAAGGGTGAGAAAGAGAGCGGCCTCAGCTCTGAAGAGCCTCTCCTATCTATCTCCAGACTGTGATCACTTCTAAATTTGATAAATACATCAGCTTTCCTTTTGTCTCTTCAGCCTCTTTTTGAATGCTGAGAAAACCAGTGGTCAGCATACATAAGCCTAGCATAACTCTTCCTTTCATGTGTGATGCAGAGCACACACCTCGTAATGCTTCTAGAGAGTGTATGAACAAATGAGGGCTCCAATCCACCTTGCCCTACTCTTCCAGCTGGTGAAATCAGGACAGCAAGAAGCTGTAAGATGTGGCTTTGTTGGAGTTGTTTGTGGACAAGAACAGATGGCTGAAATTTGGCTCTAATGAACTGATTAACAGAGCCTACAGGTCTGTGAGATCTTTGATAGGTGGGAAAAGCAGACCCAGATGTAAACTGAGTGTGAAAGCCAGCCTTGAGAAGGAGATAGATGTTACTGGTTAGATGGTGTTTTATTAAGCTTCTTGTCAAGATCCTCGCTACAGCAGAAGACTGGGTGTAGGGTGTTTGCTGGTACAGAGGCTGAAGCTCTTTAGAGGTGAACATCAGGGCTGTTGGAAGCCTGCTGCTGGGGCATGTAGAGTATGGTGAGTACTGCTCATCTGATCTACCTGTGAAGCTGTGTGGGGGGTTTGGGGCAAAAATGCTTTTTGGTACACAACTTGTACCTGTAGGTGGAAGACTCGTGTAACATGTGGCTTGAGCTTGTTTTATGTTTCTGTTCTTTTAAAAGCAACTTGTTTTAAATGCTGGCAAAAACAAAAAACCATGACCAAAATGCTGAGATGATCTATGTGAATTAGAGTGATAATCTAATTAATTAATGTGATTTCTGTAACAAATAAGTACTGTTGCTTCCACAACAGTGTGGTGCAGAGATGCTCATAAGGGCTTTTTTTGTTGTTCTCTCCTCCCACTCCTGGAGGTAATATGAGGTAATTGGTTGTACTGAAGGAAAGTGTAATGCCAATAGGAGATCCACAGTTTGCACCTTGTGGAAAAGGGCCTGGTGGTTGGAAAGCTCTTGCATCTCTCTCTCTTTCCTCTTCTCACTGATAATACTACTGTGTTTCTGATATTAAATGAAGGAAGCTTCAGAAGTAATGGGTTAAGTAGAGAAATGTTCTGATGTTAGGCATGTGGCAATGGGAAAGCTTTTGTGTTTCTGAATATCTATGAGTTCAAACTGAAATATTACCCTGGCAAGGTAACATTGCGTGGTTTCTATGTATCTTGTCTCACATGTGTGTCAAAGCAATTGGATTGGGCAGGAGGTTATTTGTAATCCCAGTTGCTCATTTGGAAATATTGAACTTGAACTTCCTTAATTACAGGGGCAAAAATGAGTCAAAGCTCAAAATGCTTGCAGGTGCGTTCATCTTTAGTTGCAATAGGCTTTTCACGAAATGCGTGTTTTGCATGTAAGAACGAGACATGTAAGTTCTTAGGCTTTGCATGTAAGAACTTCAGATAAATGGAGAAATCTTAACTCTGAGTAGATCTCTTAATGTTGTTAAGTTTCATCTTCAGAAGGAGAAATTACAGGAAGTTGCCTCTGTAGCTTGTAGAAAACTTTCTTATCGATATGAACTTCTTTTATAGGGAAGATTGTGATATCTAGTCTATGTAATTCCAAAAGTCAAACTGCTAGAACTTGGCAGCAAATGTGCAAAGGCTCAGGGAAAGAGAAGGATCTTGGGCTGTGGTCCATTTGCTTACCTGGTTACTCCTGTAGATTCATTACATTCCTGAATTTTTAAGTTAACTTAAAAAGGGACCCAAGGTGGTCAGGATTGCAAAGAATGAGATTCCAACCCATCCTTAATTTTATGGAAATGGCAGATTGTTTTAAGGATATGGCCAAGATCATCTTTACAGGTGGAGATCTGTGGGCTGGAAGTGCCTACATCTCAAAAACCCTTATTGCAGATATGGTTTATCTCTAAGTTATTGCCTGCACTTGTAAGCCTTGGACTGTGATGAAATAAATTCAAAGCACAACACAGCACACACTTGTTTGTTTTGCTCGAAGATTCTTAGTGAATCGTTATCGTAAGTGTTTATGTATTCATGTGTAAATATTTCCACAACTCTTGGATGTGTATTATTGTATATTTACCTCTGGGTAGAGATGTAATCAGCAAGCAAGCAAACATCCAGACAGTCATCCTAGTAAAGTGAGAGAAATAGAAATTCTGAGTACTTCATCAGAATGCTAGAGCAGAGGTCATAGACATGAAATGGGGCACAAGTTATGCTAGAGAAAATAACTTCCGTATCTTTGAAGAGAATTTGGATACAAAATTGGATGGCTTATCATTCCTGGCTTGATTTGTCATCTCGTTTTGGTGTGGGGGTGTAAGTCCTGCCTGTAGACCTAAGCTTTCTCGGTGGTCATGATGGGATAAGTTTCAGTCACAAGTACAAGACCCATACTTCCCTCTTGCGTTCTCATGTGGGCGAAGTTAATGGCAAATGTGTAGCCATAATTTGCTCCTGAGATTATATTCTTTTGGCAATTAAAAGAAATTCCCTCTGCCTACAGGCTTCAGATGTTTTGCAACATAAGAAAACATAGCTTACCATTCCATTTTTTAGGTTTGCTGGCTCTTAGGAATCCTTCCACGTTGCTGACTTCACCTGGTGCTCTTTTGGTCTCTAGAAAAGCAAAAGAGTGAAAGATATTCTAATGTTTGCTGCCATACATTTTTCTATAGATGGGAATAAGGTATTTTTATTGCTTAGTTTTTGGTGGTTCAATGTCTATTTTTACACTCTGTGTGTATAATAGCAGGAATTTGTTCTCTTGGGTGGGATGGATGTGAATCATTAGCCATGCCGTTACAGTTCCTGAGCTTTCAGTCTGCTGTTGGGAATTCTTGCTCTGTAGCCATTGGAGATCAGAGAAGGTGGTGAAACCTAGGGGGTGTTGTACTGATGAAGACATGTAAACACTATATCTCAGATTCTACCAAACATGACTCCCGTTGGCATATCTACAGCAAAACACAACTCTAGATAATAAGCTATAGGAGAAATACTGGTTGAAAGAGCTTTTTTGAGGAGGCTGTTAAATCAGATACTTTCTCAGAGAGATTAAAAAAAAAAAAAAAATAGAGTAAGGATAAAACAAAAGGGCTTTTTGGGTTTCCTCTTGCCATCCTCTCAGCATCTTGTAACTTAGAGAATACAAACATGTGAGTAGTGGCCTCTTCCCATTGTGCTTCAGAGATGATGCTAGTGGTGAAAGTGGTGGTTTAGCCAAGGTAGTCATCTTTTCAGAGTCAGTGCTGTGTGGGAAGGGAGAAAGTGCTGCTTATTATTTTTGGTGAAATAGTGCTGCTTGGGGTAAACGAGGCCCCAAATGGTGAGGATTCCACTAGTCCCACAGTGGCTGAAGCTTGTGTGCTCGTTCTCTAAATCTAGTAACAGAGCTGAATTTCTATGCTCTTCCGTTGTGGTCAAGACCTGCTTAATTTACCAGCCCTTTCCTGATACTCAGTGTCTTTGTTGAGAGCAGGAACACAATGCCAGCTGGGATTCCTATCCTGGTCCTAGATCCTCCTTCTTTGTGCTATGGTGCTGTGGCTGGACTGTGGAAAGTTGAATTTGAGCTATAACATTGTGATGGATGTCTTCTGTGTTGGAAAGCTGTATCATCTCTCAGGCTGGTCACTATAAGCTTTGTGCAGTGCAAGAGTTAAGCTCAGCGTGTGTGACTGATGTTTGAGAGCTGGTGGAAGGCTGCTGGTGGGCTGTTCTGTGGTGGTTTGAGATGAGCAAGCAGGGGATGTGTTTTGGTTGATGTAACTGATGTAGGGAAGGATCTGGCTCAAGTGAAACGATCGTGAAATCCTTGCCTGTTTGAGTTTTCTCATAGATCTTACATAGAGCAGTCTGCGCGTCCCTGACAAACTTCCACTGTGGTTGCCTCCATCTCCTTTGTAATGATTATTATTTCAAACAAGAAAATTAACTTAGGCAAAAAAGCTTATTCCATATCTTCCTTCCTTTAAATAAAGTTCATACGCTGACTCTAACCTCCCTCTCAGCTTTGCATGAATGTTCCACTCTACAGAAGACTGCTCTGCAAAAGTACCAGCAGCAGTCTTATCCTGTGCCCTGGCCTGGAGGACAGGATGAATCTGGAGGGACTGGGGCTCCATGTGTCTGTTCTGTGCTGCTAGGCAGCAGCAGGTCTGTTGTAGGGCTGAAGGAAGGCAGCATGCTGGCTGGTGCTCTGCAGTGTGCAAGGCTGTTCCTTGTGAAGAAAGAACTCAAAATACAATAGGTGTGACCAGCTTATGGGGTCTGAGAAAGGTGTGAGAGAAGCAAACAGAAGTGACCCTGAGGTCAGATCTCCTAGAAAATGAATGATAAGAAAAAAAAAACAACACTTCTAACAGTTTTGCTTCTGACACGAGTCAATTGAAGTTGATTTTTCCTGCCAAGACAGCTTGCTTGCATCTCTGGCTTTGTACATTTTACTCCCACAGAGTCCCTGTGGGGTTTCTGATTCTGACAAATATCTGTAAGAAAGTCAAGGCTAGGGGAGAAGTCCTGAAATCAGACCTGAAATACCAAATCGCATCTGAATTGCATGAGAACCTTATTTCTTGCCACCCACGTGATTTTGCTACTTCCCCACTGAAGTTTAAACTTATGCCTAAAAATTAGCAAGGAAGGTGCTGTTTGATATGAAGAATAAGACGCAAAACTACAGGATTGTTCTAGCTGGAACACCTGGCCCTTAATTTATCTTACCAGGATGAGATTCTGCTGGAGTAACATTTCTTTCTGAATTAAGCTGACACTGCTTGAAATGTCAATGTCTATGCAGAACCTCCACCACAATTGTTCTTGGTACGCTAAAGAAGATCTGTTTCAGTCTGTGCAGTGCAGCCCAGATGTTTCAGTCATCAGACAGAAAAGCATTCAAAGCAATTACTTTGTTCAGTCTTTAACATCTTTATTTTAACTTTTTTTTTTTTTTTAAGTGCTGGCTTAAATGAAATGGAAGCTGAGGAAACTACTGCATTTCAAACTTAAGAATTAATCCACTATTCATTAATCTGATGAAGTAATTATTTGGGCCTTGCTTTGAGATGCTAGAACGATTAACTGAGTAAGACTTTTTGATGAAGAATAATTTCCAGAAGAATTACAACACTAAATACCACTTCTTTTTAGCACGCTAACTTACTTGACGTAGTTAAGGCATGCACAGTGATTAAAGCATATGATTAAATTGTAAAATTTGAACTTCTTGGCAATGTCTTTGTCATGATGCAGACGTCAGATGGGTGTGAAGCTATTTACTGAACGTGTTCATTCAGCCTGCAACATAATGCAGTCAACCAAAAAGGAAAACAACCGACTGTTCCAAGCACATGCAGAATAGGGGGGCTTTGTCACAGAGAAAACAGATTCGCATTTTTTCTTTCCATGGAATGAGGGTGGCACTGTTACTTTTGAAGGCTTTTTCACCCTTGCAGGACTGATATGCTCCTTGTAAAATGAGTTAGAATGGCATTTTCCAAGAGTGATCTGTTAAAGCTGGAGATAATGTTGTTGCAGTGCATTAAGGATGCTGGTCAGCATAACTGGGAGAGCAGGAGGGGAAAATGTTATATTACCATTAGAGGCATTCCTACCTGTGCAGTGGGACTGGAACTAGATGATCTTTGAGGTCCCTTCCAACACAAACTATTCTATGATTCTATAAATTGGTTGGTCTACTGGACAACCTATTTGACTCACTGACCTTTGCTGCTGGCTCAGTAATGTGTGATAGGAATGGAATGAATGGTGGCACAGGCTGGAGAAGGCACCTGTGGCCAGAAAGGGCTGGCCCAAAGAGTTTAACAGATGAACGAAGGCCACTGTCAAGAAGGAAACAACTTGTTATGCACCTGGCAAAGCTTTGCAGCTTAGTCACTGATTGCTTCTTCAAGTGTGTATCCTATGTGCCTTTTTTTTACCTTATATGAGCAAACCTGTGCTAACTGGCTCTCGCTAGTGAGAGGAGGGATGGGAAAGGAAAACTTTCTCCTCAATTAGTGAAACCCGAGAGAGTGTTCAGCAGAGAAATGTCACCTTTACTATTCCTTGTCTACACCATGGCAATCTTTTGTCATTTCTTTAAGTGCCCTCTGACCGTGTAACTGTGCGGTCCTTTTACCTTTGCTAATAAAAGGTTTATGAGTTTGCAAGTGCAAATTACTGCCTTCCTGGAGTGTGTTCTTATGGTGCAACAATCTCTATCAAAACTGGGTAATTAACTCCAATCTGAAAGAAAGCTGTAATCAAAGTGGGGTGTCACTTAGACAGCTGTCCCATCATTTCTTTTTAAGAAAAGAGTTTTAATGACATCAAGTGAGGGATAAGGTTTTTGTATACTCAGATATGACCATGTCTTTCTCCTTTAAGGAGTTAAAGTAATTTACTTCAACAGCTAATTTAGAAGTAGTGTTCTTGGGGATTTGTGAGCAATGACAATTAGTATTTACGTAGATGAACTGATGGGTAATTCATCCTCTCTGCTCAAGGCAGGCTGGGGGAAGGAGGAGGGAGGGAAGTGCCCTTTGCCACCTGGGGAGTGTCCCAATCCCCAGGTTGTGAATTGTGTTAGAATAACAGCCAAGTTCTGAGCAAGGCTTCTTCAGGTGCACTGTAGTGAACCTACAGCACTGGTGAGGAGAGCTGGAGGCTGGTCTTGTTTCAAGGATTGTTTGGTTTAGTCATTTATAGCTGTTTGAAACTCCTGTACCTTGTCCTTTTCTCACTGTGTACTTTGTTTGCACTTGCCTTCTTCCATCCCACGCTTTGGTCACACCACCTATGTGGTGGAGGCGGCACGTGGTGGGTAGAGTGCTGGATTTGGGCTTGCTTTTGTTTTGCTGTTCTGCTGGAATTTCCTGCTGCCTATTTGAAGCACATCAGTCTCTGAGGGCTGAATGTTTGTTATCGACTGCGTTATCTGCTCTGCCAAGTCATTCCTTCTTGAGGTTAAAGAATAGAAGTGGTGGTGTGTGATCTGTTCCCAGAGGAAAGCTGTATCCAAAGCAGAGTCCTACAGCAGAAAACTGCATCCATTTCCCTGATTTTGTATAAACAGTGCTGGTAAGAAGAAATTTATCCATATGCATGGAAATAAAATAGGAATTAAGGTTTATTTCTAGTCATAGTATGCAAAATTCAAACTCACACGCACCTTTCCAAGGCTTGGTGGAAAATAGCTGAACTCTGGATGAGCCTGGCCAAAAATGGAACACATCCAAGTTAGCACTTTGCTTGAGTGTTTTGGTTACTAAACTTTAATTCTTGATTTCAGAATAACCTAATAGCTCTCAGACTGAAGTTGTTCTTGGCTTTGCAAAATGGGAACAGTTTGGGTGGCCTAGTGGGACTGATGCTAAATGTGGCACATTTCATTTCAAGTTTCACAAGGAAGGAAGTGCTCACTCAGTATGCGAGTCAGTAGTTCTCAACACTGATCAAATATTGCTCCTATCCTGTGGTTATTGGGCAGTTTCATTTTATGTTGGGTCTGAGTGAATTCTCAGGCAACTAAGATCCCTGTGATCCATGTTTCCAGCCCTCTCTTGAGAGGAATTTAAATTGTTCCCTTAGCTGAAGGGCCAATGTGGGCACTGGAAGGGCCAATACAAGGACCAGGTGGGAGTCTGGAGATCTTTGAGATATTTTAGGCTGTTGCCTGTGGGGTCTGTCAGACAGAGAAGTCAACTGCCAGTAATGTTTAATAGTGTGAATGTATCCCATTCTCTTGAAGCACATTTTGTCCTTTAAGTACTGTGACTTTTGCACTAGATTTAGCAATGAGACTTGCAAGACAATACAGCTGCCCTACAGAATGTCAGGGCAGGGCCTGTCATTTGTTTTGCATCTGAGGGCAAAGGCTTGATTTAGGGAGCCACTTCTGTGCTCTTAATCCTGAAGAAATCTTCTCAGAGCCACTGATCCCCATCTTGCACATCATAAGTTTTGTTGGGTTTCTGAATGTTGTGGATTTAAATCTCTTTGGGTGGAAGCTCAGAAAGCATAGCCCAAGCAGTACCTTGCGTGTCCTGATCTCTGTCTGCTTTGCGTTTGCTGGGTGAGGCTTATTCCCTGTGACTGGTGATGTGTGGTGGTCTCGTGCCCTTTTATGAAACACATGAAGACAAACCAAGAAGTTGCTGTTCCTTTTTGTGAGGGAGCTGCCAGAGAGACACCGCAAGTTCCTCTTTCTCCCAATTTCTTTGTCCTCTTCAGAGAGTTTCCACTGCTCTTTGACCATTCCAACAAAATGTTTCTCTTTTGATGAATACATTCTTCTTAAGAAGAATAAAGAACTGCTCTTCCAAGAGATTGCAGTTACATGAGACAGGCAGATGTGCTTCTACATTTTGTTCTAGAAAACCTAAGCTTCAAAGAAATGATGCAGAAAGAAGTGAAAGGGTTCAGCATTGTGTATTTTTCTTCCTTTTTTCGGTCTTCAAAGATAATTACTGTCTGAATAAATGGTTCCAGTGCTCTCTGCCTGACGTCTTGTTTTACTGTTGTATAAGCTTTGAAGATAGAGGTATTCTGAAGTAAAGTGTTAACATGGAACAAGGATCTTCATTTTTGATTCTTCACTTGATTTTTTTCTTTTCTTTCTGACATTTGCTTAAACTGATGGTGGAATCAGTGTCATTATCTGATTCTGGTGCGCTCTGTTCAATGGCAAACAACTCAGCTGAGACACATCTGTGTGAAGAGTCCTGAAGTTATTAAACTAACTTAAGTCAGTAAAACTATTTGTTGGACTTGCACTGACTGACAGTAATAGCACTACAGTGGATGGTCTGAATTTTCTTTTTTTTTTTTTTAGGAAAATAAGACTTGGTTTTGAAGAGAGATGATCTGAGCTGCATTATTGCTACCTCTTAGGAGCAAAAAGCTCAACTTTTATGAAGGTGACTCTTAATGGGTGCCTAGTTATTGCCATTATCTTTTTTTCTCATTATATTTTACAGTTTAGTCAATTCTTTTACTGCCCAAGAATGTGTATGAGTTCCATGTTTTTCTGGTCACAAGCAGAGAAGAAATATCTGCAGGCTGTATTGGGGGTTTGAAAAAAGAGGGAAATGAAGTTCTCACTGCCTTTCCTCCCAGGTACTTAAATTACTACTTTTTTTTTTTTTCTTTAGGCAGTATGCCAAATGATATGAATTCCTCTATGTAGTTTCTCATTAAATGAACATGGTCAAGGATAACTGAGATGGATTGAAATACGGGGGAAGTTCTTGGACTTCATGGGTGTGGCTTTCAGGTATTTCTCCTTGGTCTTTGATGTCTCTCTTGTGTGGCATTTCCCTCCCACTGTTGGTATAATTTATTTTACAGGCCCTTGAGCCGGGCCTGCCGTCTTCTGACGCAGGGATGTGGTCTGACCTCAGATTTGTCCTACTAGGTCTTGGTTTTACCACCTGCTCACAGCTGATAAGCCTCTCAAGAAGATCTGTGTTTATGAGCATTATCTTTGTTCTCCATCTCACCTGTGTGATGTCTTGACAGAGCACAACGGAACGGACACAGATCTTAAAGGGATATAACAAGAACTGAACCGCTGAACCTGAAGGAAGAACCAAACTGAGCTTTTCATACTGTAAAGCACCAAAGCAGGAAATAACAATTTTGTACAAGTTTGGGGTGATAGCCTTAGCTGTGTCTTGTTCAACTTATCTATTTGCAAGGATTTTTATTCCCCTTCAGTCAGCAGTTATCTCACACTAAAGTGGGATTATTTAAAAAAAAAAAAAAAAAAAAAAAAACCACCTTAAGAAATGTCATCGGTCTGAAGAAAGAAAGAGGAAAAATCCCTCCCTTTTGAACTTTCAGATTTGTAGAACGGATAAAGGCCAGTCACAAATGATAGGGAGAAAGGGAAATTCTGAGGGACTTTCTTAGGAAGCAGAAGGGAAACTGTTTCAGGCTCAGAAGGTTGCTTTGAGCGAATAGTTTAGTCAATAAATTGTCTGTTTTTGTTTGATGCCTTGGGTAGGAGGAAGTGCAATGCAGTATCTCCAGAGAATTTCCATTCTCCAAAGTTGATGTTTGCTTGGCACTGAAACAGCTTTGGAAAATCCTGCCCTTTAGATACTTATCTTTTTTTGCTGGCAACTGTTGCTAACAACAGGCTCATGGGATTGTAGAGGCTGCCCATTGCTTTTCTGGGCATGACTCTTCTCTCTGTCTTTAATTCACATATTGTAGAAACCACCTTTAGACATGCTGATGTTATTAGTGATATGCACACACAATTTCACATAGGTATACTGGTTAGCTTTCTCTTTTATGTCAGACCTGTTCCTAGAGTACATGTTTCCTTCCCAAACTGTGACCCTACAGTCTATTGGATCTATACTTCCCAATAAGTGAGATCAGGAGGGAAGCTGTAGGGCAGATGAAGTTCAGTAGATACTTACAGCAAAGCTTTTAAGCTTTAGAGGTAAAAGAAACAAATTGGTTGCTACTGTGTTTCCTATGTTGGGTATGTAAATGCTGAGAATAGTGAGTATAAAAATGAAAGCTCAGAATACCAGGATGAGAGGAGAAAAAGAAACTGAAGTTAGCCTAGGTTGGCATAGCATGTTATGGCTCTTCCCAGGAACATAGCATTGGTTTGCCTGAACTGTCCAAGCTCAGTACTGGGCACCTCTCGGAGGCCTTGAATATCCAGAGAATGAACTTTGTGGTAATAGCTCTTTCAAGTGAGAGGAACCACTGAACCTGGGTTATTTTCCTAGGCTATATAATGCAACTCATTGAACGTATTTAGAAGCAACTGTTCATTGTAAAGTTTTATAGTGCCAGAACAAATCTGGAGGTCAAGTAAGATATTAACTCACTGATGTCTGTCACTAAATCCCAAAGGAGCTATTGTCTGCCTGAGCTGTTGTCTTGTCTGCTAACGGAACTGAAGTTGTGTGGGGTTTCATTTGATGATTCTTCAGTTTATTTTCTTAATTGTTGCTTCAGTTCACATGAGAACTCTTCTGGGGAGGGAGAAGTTGTTTACAGAACAAATTCCCCAAGAGTAATTCACATCACTTACACCTTTGTCTTAACAAAGGATATTCCTACAGGCTCTAGTGGCAACTTTCTTGCCTCAAAAGAAAATTGAGTGAAGTGAATGCAAATAACTAAGGAAGAGGAGACCTTTTCCCTTTTGCAGGAATCGAATCGCTACTGGTCGTCTTCATAGTTACCCAATAAAATGCACAGAGTACTTGTGAAGTGTAAACTCCATTCTAGTAAAATCATTAAGACCTAATGGTTCAAGGGCTCTTGAACCAGCGACAAAAATAAAGCTGGCAGTTGCCAAATACTACAGGCTTAGAAAATAAAACAGTTGTCTACACAGTGCCTGGACAGTATTTACAAGGGTGAAGTCTACAGCCTTCTACACTTTCTTTGGTATGGAAACTGAATGTTTGGATGTGGCCCAGTTACAAATGTAAGAATTCTGATGTCTGATTAACTCCATTCCATCAGAGATGGACAAAAACAAACAAACAAAAAAACAACCACAAACCATTTCAAACAGGGTTGTCTAGCAATGCTTGAGAACAATTGTGCTCATTTTTCTAAGCTGTAAATAATCATGTTAAGTGGAGATGAAACTTCTGTTGAATTAATGGGATGTGCATCCAATATCATTATCTAAAGGGAGGGGCGACAGGAAAGAAAGAGATGGATGCTTTAGCAGTAGCTGTTGTAATAAGACAAAGGCAAATAGCTTCAAACTAAGAGAGGGAAGACTTGGAGATTGGATGTAAGACGACTTCTTTATTTATTTTTGCAATAAGAGCATTGATGCACTGGCACATGTTGCCCAGAGAAGTGGTGGATGTCCTATCCCTGGAAAAACATGAGATCAGGCTGAATGGAGCTCTGAGCAACCTGATGTAGCTGTAGGGTGTCCCTGTTCATTTAGAGAAATTGGACCAAATAATCTTTAAGGATGTCTTCCAAATCAAATAATTCTATACAAAATAAGCATCTTTTTCCTATTCATATAATGGAGTCATAAGCACTTCCTGCAGGCCCTCTACTCTGGAATGTTTCTCAGTTTTCTTAAAGCTTTAAGACTTATTTGTTAATGGTTAGTTCAGATCCAGTTCAACTGAATCATTTTAACAACTGTCTTTCAAGTATTGTGAGCATGATCAGATACTGCCTCTTTCCTGTCCCAAAAGTGCCTGTCTGCTATCAGTAATATTACTTTTTTTTCCTACCTCTAGTCACGATGATACAAGAAGTTGCTGGATTCTTTTCAAAGAAGCAAGATTGGGGTTTGAAAAGGAAAAGAAGAGTTCCTTTCTCTTAAAGTACTGTGGAAAAGCTGCTTAGGTTTATTTCCTGTGGAAGATTCTATTCAGATCTATGACACAGGAAAGAGGTGGCATCCTCCTCCTCTTTGCCTTTTTCTAATAATGGAACCCTCTTCTCGCTGTGTGGGAGTACCATTAATTTTCACATATTGCCTGGCCTCTTCCATAGGTAGATGTGGGAGATCTACTCCAAGTGTGCATCTTGAAGTATGGAGGGCTTTGTTTTCCTTTTTCTGTGATCATTAAGTGTCTTGACATTCATGTTGGGGACTGTGTAGTATTTCAGCAGTGTTTTTTGTGAATTACTTTTAGGTGAGGACTGTTAGCTGCCTGGAGTGCCACTTTTCCAGAATTGGGAGATATCCAAGAAATGGGGTACAAATTGTATTTTTAGAAGTAAAGAAAACAGTCCCAAACCATGAAAACAAACAGTAACACCCCTTCCCAACCCCCCCTCCACAATGGATTCTTTGCAGCAGAAGGGCCTCTTCATTTGGAGAAAGGAGAGGAACAGGGAGAGATTGAAACTATGATGATGCTATCCTGTCTCCTTCTGCAGTACTTTTATGCTTTTCCGTGACTTCATTTTCAGATTACAAATCAGCCCTGGCAACCTTCATAGGGCATAATTGGTCATCTTGAGTTTCTTGGTTATTGTTTTTTTTCTCTCATTTAATTGTCTGATCCATGAGTCATCTGGTTGTTGTGTACCAGTCGATAACAGGTTAGATTTTTATGTATGCCTCAACGGTGACTCTTAACTCTGCTAGAACAGAGGCAGTGAGATAGTAAGCTTAGTTTTTGGGGGAGGTCCCAAAATTCTCTGCCAGATCCATTTTTTTTGTTTTGAAGTAATAACTTCTGGTGTACTTTGGGACAGTAGTGATGCCTCAGATGAGCTTGGAGTTGTTAAAAGCTAGCAAGAACCACCCCCAAGAGACTATGAAGCTCTGTAGAAGAAGTTGCTCAACTGTTGAACTTAGCCATATAGTTTCTCCTCTCCCTGGTAGCATGGAGTTGACTGAACAGATGAGGATGATGGTGTGGTTTAGCAATGTGATGCGTTGCTGAGGAGATACAGCAGGACGAAGAACTTGAGAAGCACTTAAGTTGTCTCTGAGGATGATCTGGGCTAATCTGAAATGGCAGCCTAGTGCTAGAAAAGATCTGAAACCTAGTGATAGAGAGTGATTCTGAAACGCAGGCTTATTTACATTTTCTACTCTTCACACTACTGATCCTAAAGGTTAGTAAATGCTGTTTCCCATCTTGGGTGGCATTTATAGTGGCTCTTGCTCTGGCTTTGCTACTGATTAGCACACAAGCAGTAAAAGTTGACTTCATTTTGTGGTGGAGCACAATGCATGATGTAAGCCTGACTGATTTGCGAGAGATCTGTGCTATCACTCTATAACATTTCCTATTGCTGAGTTGAAGCACTAGGCTAGACTTGTCTGATCCAACAGATCTTGTCATGCTTGGCAAGATCTGCAGGATGCAATTCACATTCATATTATATACAAGGAAAGATAACTAGGACAGAGAGACTAGGGAGATAAAGCTGATGTTACTACAACAGCAGTACAGGTTACATTACAGAAGTTGCCCAAGGAAGTTACCAGCAGTCAAGTTAGGAATACAACATCTGATGTGAATAATTTATAAATGGCTATGTTGAGAGTAGACAAACTCTTGCTCTGTAACTTCTGTAAGAAAACTGCACAAAAGTACATAGGGTAGGCATGCAACCATACAAGGGAAGTTGCATGCTATTTTGTTATCTTGTTCTGCTATTATTATTTTACTGAACCTGCTCTCTCATAAAATTTTTTGGACTCTTGTTAGAGTTAAATGCATAGGATTGTTTTGTGTTTTCCATCGTCCTGAAAATGGTGCAAACAATTTTCTCTATTTTTTTTTTCTAATTTTTGAAATGCACTTCTAAGGGTTACAACGGATGCTGGGGAGAAGGAGGTGGAGTCTAGAAGGGTGCTCTAGTTAATCACATAACCTTCATTTTTCTAAAACAACAACAATGAAACAACAGCAAAAAAAAAACAAAAAAACAAAAAACAGGTTGTAAAACACGAGTTGCATCTTTGAACTATTAGTTGGTATTTATGTCTCCAGGCTGTGAGAGTAAAGATTAACTAGTTCTTTGAATTTATTAAATAGAAGTTGGGAACCCAATATGCAAAATGAGGGTCCCAAGAATTATGTGGGGGGATTTAAGTCCTGAAAGTTGCTGACAAGGGGAGAAGTCTTAAAGTGGTCTTTAGTTTGCTCTTCTATGATGATATACCTCAGTGATAATGGAGCTCTGTTAGTAAGATGTTTCATTTCCTCAAGAGAGGTTTGCTTCATTTGTGGTGACAAAATCCTTTCACCAATTACTGTGTTTAATACAACAGAGCATAACATTTGTCATCTGAAAGTAGGCCATAGGTGAAAGCAACCAGATGTTGTCAAGTGTGTGAATGGTACCCAGATGTCTTGTGTTGCAGTGGCATCCGATGGTCTAGTAGCAGACCAGGGGGTCATCCTGAGCATTTTAGCAGAGACTACTTCAGATGTGGCTCTGGGCCCAAAATGTCTTAGTAATGAGTCAGTGGATCAACACTGTACAATTCTGCTATAAATGCACCAGCTTGCTAGTGAGGTAGTCAAATCTGACATATATCAGTAGAGCAGTGCGCAGGTAGTTATTGCAGTCTTTCTCTTGTCCATCAAACTTAGCCCTTCTCAATGTCAGAGATGCTGAACAAAACTTTTAATAAGTTTATGCTATTTTAAACGTGAAGGTAAATAGTGACTTGAAAAGAAAGAGGAGAGGTTTTCACCAGGTCACCAGTTTTCATGCTGTGAAAGGCCAACCTGACCTCTCTGTGGTTCTACACTTTCATTATAGGAAATCCCCTGTGAAAGTTGGGTAAACTTAACTTTACTGTGTATTTCCAACCAGCCATAAACTGAAAGTTGAGGATGTGAAAAGCACATCCTAAATAAGGCTTGCAATTTCGACAGTGTGTAACATGACCTATTGTTTGCTCTCTAGGCCTCACCTTACTCCGTTAGGTAAATTCTGTGGTTAAATTAGATTATCATCAATAGCGGGTGGGAATTACAGGTACTGTCAAATATATTTGTAATCAGATTTAAAACAAAATCATCTCAAATGTTGAAGGGATATAGTTGGCAGAACTGTAGAAGCATACAAACAACACTTTCCTTCCTGTACAGCAGGCAGTCACCCAAAGCACTCTTTGAGAAGCAGCTGGAGTCCAAGGAAGGAGCCACCAAGTTGTGAGGGTTGGCAGCTGCTGTTCTGGGAGCTGGAGGCAGCTTCTCCATGGTTTCTTTACCCCTTCCCAGCCCTTCCTCCTCTTTGCTTCGTGGCAACAGGATTCACTGAGCCGCTCTCATCTCTGATCATGTCACCTCATAACTCTGCATCCTTGAATATCTTCTCTGATATTGTCAGCAAGTATATATCTTTCAGGAGGCTACCCAAAATCCAGGCTGATTTTGTAGTTCTAGGGCCAGCCTTCTCAAATGTTTCTGTCTACATATCCTAAAGCCATGACTTAAAAAGATGTTGGGCATTCCAGCTGTGGTATTTCTTAAACTGTGCACACTCAGATCTTCTGATTGTGTCTACTTCAGTGATCTCCTAAAGTGTAATTTACCCCAATCAAGTGAGCATATTATAACACCTTGTCTCTGTTAATCATATGCATTCTGAGGACTGCAAACATCAGCAAACAACCCTGCTCTCTGTAAGCAAGTGCAAGACGAGCAACATGCTATTTGAAGGGATAAGTGTTTGTGTTGTTTTTGTGTTATTTAGAGAGAATTTTGTGGTTTATTCAGGTTTCTCTAACTAAAAACTCCTGGTACTCTTTTGAAACAGATAAATTTCCTTAATTCAGTCCTTGCGGAAGACTTGTTTAAGACCACTGGCCAAATCCTTTTAAGTTGTGTTTATCCACGCACAAAATGCAGAGTGTAAAGGTAGGCTGTATCTGGAGTGGGTCTCTGACACCTTGTAGTATGCACTAGTTACTTTGTTAGGATTGAAAGCTTGTCTAGTCTTGCACATCTCAAAGTACTTTTGAGTGTTTTCGGGGTACAGTCAAACCCTCCAAAAACACTGAACTCAACCTACAGCTGTTAGAGCTGAAGTAAATGTTTGCTTCTCTGTTTCGTCATCAGATTTTAGGGAGATTTTAAGGATTTCTATGTTGATGATTAACAAAGCTGTATCCAGGTGTGCTTTTGTTATTTTAATAGACCACTTGGTTTGGTGCTGAGCCTGCCTCCTGCTGTTAGCAAGAGATGTGTGCCCCGGGTGTCCCCTGGACTACTGCCTGCCACAGCTGTGCTGCTTGAATCCATGTCCTCTCTAACCAGTGATGGTTTGTGAATACCCATCTTCTGGAGGTGGCCAAAACCTAAGTTCTGGGTATTCGTTGTAATGTAAGACACTGAAATGTCTGAACTTGCAGTCAGAACTTCACAGAAACTGATTTGGAAAGGCAGGATTCCTCCCATTTGTGTTTGCATCATAGTAAAAAGAGACTAAGTATTCAGTGAGAACTTCAAGTCGGACATCAGGACAAATTTCTTCTCAGCCTGTTCTAGTGACTAACCATTCCATCCTGGGAGGTGGTGGAATTGCTGTTCTTGGAGGTTTTTAAGGAAAGGGTATAGATGTAGCACTTAAGGATATGGTTTAGTGAATAATGTTGATGGCAGGTGAATGGGTGGACTAGGTGATCCTACAGGTCTTTTCCAACCTTAATGATTCTATGAACTTGAGTTGATTAATTTGCGATGATGAGGATATGGAGATTGCCTACTTAACCAAACTCTGTCGTGTTATTTCAGGCGGGAAAGTGAGAAGTGTTTAATGGAACTCTGGCAGATGCAACCTACTGCATTCCTACCTCTCACAGGAAAAAGGTTGTGATGGCTTTGGACATGAAAGTACAAAGTTTAAATTGTTATGGCATTGTACTGAATTCACTGGCAGTATTTCATTCTTGAGCACCTTTAAATATCATTAAACATCATTGCTGCCCTTTTGGCAGACACAAATGTCTGTTATCTCTGAGACTGTTATGGAACAAGTTCCTTTTCCCCTGCCCTTGCTACATGCTAGTGAAAGCAGGCTAGCAATGATTGGATCTAATTGGTACTGTGCCCTCTGTTTTAATTGAGTGCATACTTATGAGTTTAAACAGGAAAAATCACTCATAGAAAGCAGTAAAACTATGTAAACTTCAGATGGCTTAGTTCTGAAGACTTCCTCTGAGCACTTATTGAACTTCTGAAGATTTCCATACTGATTTCATGCTTCCATATCAAAGCCCTTGAATCCCTGTCTTCCACTGGTTAGGATTTGAAGAGTCTCACCTTGTTGCTCATATTTCTTACAGTCTCCAGATTTCTGAGGTCCCCACAGCTGATCCTGGAGCATCTGTGACTGTTTATTTAGAGGGCTGGACTAAGAATGCTATGTGTTGTTCTTTCATAACCCTTAATTTGAGCCGTAAACAGTCATTTAGGAGACTAAATTGAAATGGCAGCTGGAGAAGGATTGTGGGCTCTTTAGAACTACTCTGAAAGTGGAAGCCAGAGCTCTTAAGAACTGAAGAAACCTTATTTGTAAACAGCAGGCAAAATGTCTGAGTACACCATTTGCAACCTCTCTGACACCAGAGCCATCTG